AAACATTTCTTGATTTGATGATTGATAAATTTCTTGCAAATATATTTCATTTTTGGTCGTATTTCTGCAAGATTTTGTAAATTTCAAGAAAGAAAGGGCGAAAGAATCGGCTAAAAGAAGGGAGCCGACGTTAACAAAGGTAAGTTTGTTTTAAATATTGAGTTTATAACGGATTTAAAACCCGACGGCCTTTGCGTATATGAAACAACTAAACAAGACAGCATATAATTTCAGTGTATCTTTAATATTGATTCTCTTTTTTATTGTATTGAATTTTTTAAATAAAAAATAAAGCAAAGTTATTTGCAAGCGAGAATTTGAAATCGTTCAATTGCAAACTCAAAGTTTATCGATAAAGCCATTTAATAGTTAAAGGCAGTTTAATTATATAAAGAACACTTTAAAACGTTTTGTGAATTGTTTGTGGTTGAATTTTACCTTAAATTGAAGCTTGTATTACGTATAATTACATACCTAATATATATATTATATATATATATATATATATATATATTATATATATATATATATATATATATATATATATATATATATATATATATATATATATATATATATATATATATATATATATATATATCTGGAATGATAACAGCGAGCGAAAAGTGAAGCCGACAAAAATATCACGACATAAGTATTCGTCATTGTCTTCGTCATCAACTGTTCAAGAACTTTCTTACAGTATTAAAAATCACTTACATATAAAATTTGTAATTGTTTTGAAAGTTTTTATCACAGTTTTTATATCTTTATTCACTTTTAACCTGAAGATGGAGTTATACTCCGAAACGTAGTTATTAAAATAAGTTTTTACTAAGCCCATATGGTCTAATTTATATTCAAACACACGTACATATTCATTTACATTTTGCTGGCAGGCAAATTCCGATCACACAATAAATTCTTTAAAAAATAACGTACCAGTGTATTGACTAAAAACTATAAAACTGGTAAACTAAAAAACAATTCAAACAATCGCGAAAAATGGCAAAGTCACAGTTGCAAGTCAATTTACCTACCTGTGAAATGAAATTTTCTCGCAAGAACATCTCTTTCCTTGTGCATCCAGAACGACAGTACGACACAATATACTTGAAAAAGTGATTCTTTTCTCCACACGGGGAAGTTTTCCTCGACTTTTTCCGACAGCGAACTCAATGCAGTAAATTTTAGGAGCAAAACAGTTTGCTCCTAAAATGTATTGCATTGAGTTGGCCATGTTTTTAAATTTTTTTTCGTGATTGCGTTCAAATTTATACTGGCCGTGCAACGGTTTGCAAGAGGGGGAATGAAACTGACGTCCAATCCGCGTAAGCCTGACGTTTGAGGGACTGAGACTGACGTCCAATCCGCGTGAAAGACTGGTATCGAGGCTTCATTTTTTTCGCAATCAAATGACTGAATGTTATCGTTCCAGATATATATATATATAGAGTTCACTGGATAAGACGCATGGAAAAACACTTCTAATTTTGTTGCCAAGGTAACAATGTCGTTTCCAGGCCCCTTGCGCCAATTTTATGAAACAGCTTTATTCAAGGTACTGATAAGAATAAAATAATATCAGAAGTATGTGTATGATACTTATGCATGCCAAAAGTTTACTTGCATGATAATAATTCGAAAATGACATACACATAGATAAATGCAACTAGTTATTCAAAATCAGTGTAAGAGGCCTGGGAACGACTGTGTTGCCTTGACAACGAAATTAGAAGTATTTTCCCCATGCATCTCATCATGTAGTATCTGTATGCAAAATTTCATTTGATTTGAGCTAATAATAACTCAGCTATGCTTTAGTTTACTATTCAATAAACATACTTACCCAGCTTATGACGTCACAGAATGTGCTGAATCAGCAATTTATATTTTGCACATTTTTGCGTATAACTTCGGAACCAGATGAGATAGAATAGAGCAGTAAACGGCCAATCGGCTTATTTTTTCATGCTCCTTCAGATGAAGCAATAAAATCAATAAAAATTTTTGTTGCCAATACCCTTTAAATGACAAAGAAATGTGTATTTTTTAATTTTTTTCTAAATATTCACCTATGAAATTATACTAAAACAATTATTCACCTCAGGCTCGGTGATTATCGTGAATAAAAACCTCGACTTCGTCTCGGTTTTTATTCACCGATAATCACCTCGCCTTCGGCGAATAATTATCACTTATTTACTGAGACCGAGGGAAACAGTGTGTTTTGTGGACCCGAGACCGCCGTTGTTGCCCGAGGCGAAGCCGAGGGCAACAACGGCGGTCGAGGGGCCACACAACACACTGCTTTCCCGAGGTCTCAGTAAATAAGTGTTTTGTTATATAGTATATATGTGTCAAAGACTCAAAGTATGAATAATTCACCGGTTATTGGAGTGAACTTAATTTGAAACCAAAACTGGATAAATGGAACGCCGTAAATGTTTAGTAAAAAGTTTAAAAATGAACTTTGGAACTTCATGGTTGACACGCATGCGTATTGCACCCATTTTATTATTGACCGGTCAATAAATGTTTGATTGCGGACCGGTTGCCGAACATGACGTTTTGTGGACAGGCACGTGACACGGTTTTGACCAATCGGCAAACAGAAAAATTGAACTTTGACACTAACTATATAACAATTGTTATTAATAATTATTAATCCAACATCCTGTGGGCCGCCAAGAAACCCGCGTGCAATTACACAGTACAGATCTTCATCACGGGCTTAAAACTGTAGGGAGCCTCTTTAAGAATGCGTTTTTGACTCGTGTTCGTCAGTTTTTGACTCGTGTTCACTCGTGTTCGTCATTTTTGACTCGTGTTCACTCGTGTTCGTCAGTTTTTGACTCGTGTTCACTCGTGTTCACAATTTTTTGACTCGTGTTCACTCGTGTTCTGACTCGTGTTCACTCGTGTTCACTCGTGTTCTGACTCGTGTTCACTCGTGTTCACTCGTGTTGTCTCGTGTTCACTCGTGTTCACTCGTGTTCTGACTCGTGTCGTCTTTTAGAATAGATCCGGACAACACTGGTTTGGTTATCATCGCAACAAATTGATTAAAGCAGGTTTATAACTCTAACTTATGATTGTCATTTAAATTACGTTTACTTCTAAATCGTTTTTGTGAAGTGTTTTGCTTACTATTAGGAGACGGCGAGCTGATTTCACTGCTCCGAGATGAAGTAGCCTGCGTGCGTATTTCACTAATAATTCCGAACTAAATCGCTTTATCTCATCCTCGCGTAAGAAAAATTTAGAATAATTCTTATGATGACCATATGAGTCATATTCGACCTTAAATTCGTACCTTTTCCTTTCATAGACATCATTTTCAGTATAAACAAATACACGCTCGAATACACGGAGAAAAACACGGCAAAGTTTTGAGACAAAACGCGTATGCCTTTGTGGGCGGGTCGCTAACGCTTTGTGGGCGTGGCGGTCGTGCGAAATTTTAGTGGCTCGCACACTTCGGTGACATCCGTAGTAGTCTATCATCCGATCCCTGAGTTGCCGCATCATTTAAATTACGTTCGTGCAGTCTCCAATTTTATACTAATATATTTAGCGTTTTTGTTGTGGTACGTTAAATGATAGATTGCGCATGCGTAACCGATTAAAGCGTAAAAAGTGCGCATGTGCAACAAGCTGTTACATCCCACAAGCAATAAAGCAAATGTTTTAGCTTAAATACGCTGATTCCAAGTAGGGCATGTTTGTCCATTTTTAAATGGGAGCGCAACTATGCTATTACAAACTAATAGCATGGCTTTTCGGGAGATTAGTGATTAAATGGCCCCTAACCCTCGGCAGGTTTGCGGAATTCCCTCGGGCTTCGCCCTCGGGAATTCCGCAAACCTGCCTCGGGTTACGGGGCCATTTAATCACTAATCTCCCTCAAGCCATGCTATTACTTATAAATATGGTCCTTCACCGTCACGTGTATTGTATTTTCGCCAAATCCACCAACAGCAATTTCCAATTTACCCCATTGTTCGAGTCACGGATACTGGGTAACTTTCTTAAAACATTGCTATTGGTTACTGAGCAAAAATACAATACGCATGTGACGTTGAAGGACCAGATTTATGAATAAACGTTGACTTTAACATAGATAATGAGTTATATTGTTATTCTAATGAGTTTCACAGCCATCGATCTTCCCTTCGGTAGGCCATGCCCATGGATAAAGGGATTAACATTTTATCACTAGTAAAATTTTGTATAAGGGCAAATAAGTAGAATAGAGATGTAGCCCAATTTTCTTGCTTTGTAGTTGTATTGAAGTCTAGCTACATTAAAGTGTCAACATTCAGAAATCCACCACCATCATTGCTGCCCCTCGCAAAAAAGAAGTGTTTATACCTAAAGGTCGGACCTTTACAACAAAAGGGGAGAATACAAAACCATACAAGCAAACAATTCCAGAAGAAAATGCATACAGCCAGGTGGCTGAAAAGAAATATATCACAACACGAAAAATAACTTGATGCACAAGCGAACCGGAAGAAACTCCCCCACACCCCCTATCTGGTATTTAATAGAAGTGTTCTAATACCAGAACAACTCAAACACATTCTAATTAGTAGGCTTGCAACATTGAAGTTGCAATTATTCAAACCATCACATTATAATTATAGTGATGCACAGAAATGCACGGATATATATCGGCTCTCAATTCAAAAGAACGGTCGACAGAAGTAAAATAGAATATCGTATCGGCCCTTGAATCAGTGCCAAAGCCAGCCCGACAATTTGGTCGTGCTATGCAAATTTTAAATCATTCATTTCTTTAGAAATTGATTGTTTTCACTGTGAACACGGAAATATTTGCATAGCATGACCAAATTGATGAGCTGGCTTCGGCACTGCCTTGAATTGAGTTGAATATCGGTTTAATATTGGAATCGGCACTGCCTTGAATTGAATATCATGAGTTTAATATCGGACAATTTGTCAATTTCCATATCGGTACATCACTGATATTATGTACAGTAAAAAGTAGTCATGACAACAAGTTCTCATTTTGATGATTTTTATTTCGTTTTCAACTTACGAGTTACGAGCATTCACACTCACTCTGCACAAAACATGTGCAAATAATTAATATTATACTATACTATACTATAGTACTTGTCAATGAAAAAAGGACCCTCGTATTAGGAAAGGGGTGCATATTGGAATACGTAGATGCCAAAACACTTTTTCCAGATGGGAATTTGAATGAATTAACAAAAGCTAGGCGCCAATAAAATAAAGGCGAAACACACTCCTAGACTCGAGTGTGTTTCGCCTGTTCTTCTATGAAATAATAATCTTAACTTAGGCTTTATATATATAGTATATACAATATATTATTTTCCAGATATATAGTATTTGTCTAACAGCTTTATGTAGGCGTATTATGGAACCACGCTTTTTAGCCTTTTTTGTCTCTTTCAAGAGCAGGAGGGGGCCCCACTGAGTCACTGACAAATACTGCACACTATACAATATTTACATTTCAATATTGCTACATTCATTATATATACAGTGATAACATAATCTACATGGTAATATATTACAATATACACTCCGGATCTACACACTATCTGTCTATCTTTCGAATATATACAAGTGAAAGTCGACTTGATAAATAACAGAAGTCATAAAACACCTTTTCTTTTATGTACAAACAATGAAATCCCCAAGATTCTCAGTGGAATTCAAAACACCAGACACAAAAAATCATAAGCTATAAATTGACATGATGTGAAATCGCGCAATACAATGTTCGGAAATACACGCAGGAAACGCACAGTATCGCAACCTTTTTAGTATTCGTCGGGTCGGTGTAATCCAAATTCGCGTTGTTGGGCTATAGCCAACCATTGTCTTTGATCATGTGTGCCATTTCGATTATAAATTTGCCTTCCTTGTACTTTTGGCTGTTTTCAAATGCGTGTTCCTGTCAGAAAGGATAAAACAACACATAAAAATGAGTAAAAGAGCTTAGGTTTTTGCTAAATAATAAAATACAGAATTTATAAATTTGCGATTCATTTGCATATTTGTTGATGGAACCGGCAGATGGTTTCCCCAATCGAATTGCATATTATTATTCTCTGTTCCAAAACATGGGTCGCAGCACGCATGATATAGAGCTAAATTTTAGTTAAAAATACGATGAATTACAAGCAGTTTTAATATTAAAAACTTACATATTTCCAGCCCAGCGTGGTTTTACAATTCTCGCAAAAAATATCGGCGACTGCATGAAGTCCTGTCAGTAGCACTCGCTCTTCAGCTGGGCCGCATCCGATATTCACACTGCAAACGAAAATTAGACCCTTTTTAGTGAACAAATTACTTTGAGATTTAAAACACAGATAATAGCTTGTACTTACACTTTGTTGAAAAGATAAGCTCTTCCTTGGCTACCTTGGAACGACTATATTTTAAAAGAAAAACAAAGCATTTCGTTTATACGTTGTCCTGTTTACATGAGGCCCTGAGAGTTCATCTTGATAAATTATTTGCCATTATTCATGTAATTGTAAAAGCAACGAAACGGTTAAGAAATAGTCCCAACCTTTGAAATAAGTTCGTCGTGGTTCGCCAAATGGGCTCTGCAATGAATACAACTGTATGTTCGGTAACAGGCGGGTAAATAAGCTTGAAACGTCTTTCCCATCTTGTTCAGCTTTCGCGGGTAATTGCACTTCGGCAAAATACTCAAATGATGTTTTGAATTTCTTGCTGTCAATAGCTGTAAACGCTTTGAGACTTTGCAACAGAATAGATTTGTATTCCTACTGTATCTTCTTGAACTATTTTGGAAGTTCAGGAAGAAATGACCGCAAAATAAGAACACGAACTCGCATTAACTTTCCGCTTTCGATTTTGACTTTGGTTTGTTTTGGTTCGCACTTCGACGTCTTTATTGTTTCATGTTATGACACGTGATTATTCTTTTCTCAACCAATCAGAATGCAGCCGGATTTAGAACGAGCCAATGGGGGGCCTTGACTACGGAAAGACCCTTTTAGGCTTTTGGCATAACAAATAATAATGCATGAATATGGTAAAAATAGATCAAATATAGGGGGCATATATGCCCTTGGCATTTGAAACAAACTCAGATGATAACGAATTGCCAAACCTTAGGTTTACATGCCGCTTTAGCAGGATATGTCATTTCTAGCGGGGTATATTTCAAGACAATACGAATGTTATTGTAAGCCATATATTTCACTATTGTAACTGAAGTGGTACTCAAGGGATGTTATCGAACGATATTTATATGCGAGCAGCTGTGTCAAAAACAATGAAATATTGCGATATATTAAAGCATAACATGTGGGGTTTTTTAACTGATAGTCTAGTTGTGTCTAGTTCATTTAATCTTCGACATGCATCAAAACATCAAAACTGAATTCAACGCATGTTATTATTGTAAGAATGTTCACACATACGTCACGAAAACCAGAGACAAAATTCGTAAGGATTTCTAACTAACATGCACTGAAATTGAAACCACATTTATTAAAACCAACAACGTTATTAGCCATAAGTAACAGAGTGCATAAAGGATGCATTAACAAGGCCGGGTTCAAACGTTAAACTTTCCAAAGACGTCATTGAAGAACAGGAACCTTTAATAACATCAGCGGAAAACGGAAATACAACCGTAACATTAATATCCAATTTACAGTAAGTCTTGAAAAATAATATTGAAATTTCGAAACCGACAAATATATTTTAATTTCAATTTTGATATGGGGAAAGAAAACCCAATTGTTCTGTTGCTAACAGGGTAAACACTATAATAACATTGTGATATAAAAAAGCCCCACGGCTTTTTATTAAATACAGCTATTGTCATAAACTTTCGTTGTTGCCACAGTGCTATCAAACCACGGCTCAAGAGTGATAGATTACACCCTACAGACAATATATTTAACAATGTTCCACCGGTACTAATATTATATTGGCATGTTTCAAGAGAGTCAAAAAATTTAAACTAGGAAGTCGATCTTTCAAAAAACATCAGGAAACATGGTATTTTCACAGTCACCAAATATTTGCTTTCATTTTAAACGTGACCAAATGGTAAATGGCCGTAAATGTTCATCATATACGCTTTTGCATTTTTGTTCTTACTGTACCTGCTAGCGCACGCGCAGTAGCTGGCTGATATAATAACCTGTCAACACTTCTGTTGACACAACGTGGGTAATGCTGTCTGATAACAACAGAAATGTCCATTTTGGGAGTTTTAGTGCGACAATACGCACGTCTCAGTATAATGATGTGCTATAATAGAAACGGCGGCACCATAATTATAACACAGCACGATTGATTATTTTTCACCACAATAATTAACACTGTTTGACCATGGACACTAATTACATGCAGCGAAAACATAGATTTTGAGGAAATCTCGCTCTTACGAATTAAGACAAAAGGCATTGCGCTTACGATTCATAAGATTAAGTCTCCCAGGCTGAGAGATAAGCGACGTAGAAAAAAAAGACGCTTTATTGTAAAAGCCCATATCGTACTCGTAGTAAAAAAAACCGTCGTGGGGAAAATTGTGGCGATTTTTCAAGAAAGAGGATATTTATTAGCCTCTCCGCAGGCAACTCTTTGGCAAAAGTATTATGAATAACAGAGAATTTAAAGTTAGGGATTGTTAGGAGGCTAGATTTATATTTATCGACTGGCAAAACCAACATTCAACAAGGAACTTTATTATTGTAAATTCTTGTTGTGACGTCAAATATGGCGATGACGTAAAAAGATAACAGGATATCTACTTTCCAACAATAGTCTTTACTTGTTTTTGACGTCTTGTTTCGTCTTGGTCGATATTTCGACAATATCACGTTTTGATAGAAAAAAACAAGGATACAAATTTGAAACGCGTATTCAATTAAACACTCATGATAAGAACGATAAGAGTAAGTTGACGTAAGACGACGAGATATGAAAGAACATCTTCTGTTTTTATTTAGGTGGTGACGTCAATCAAATACATTTTTATTCGCCTAATTTCACACTGTTCTCTGGCGACCCTAGCTTGTGAACAGTATATAGAGAATTAATCCAATATATAAATGTCATGAATCGCAATACGAGTTTTGAGGAGCTGCTAGCTCACTGATTTTCACAGACCCGTTTCCCCGCGCGCGTTCACCAATTACCCTTAATAGGGTAATTTTTTCATGACACGCAATCACGAAACCTAATCCAATCCCTATCCCCCTAACCAATCATATTTCGTGACTGCCTGACATGAAATTTTTTATTGGCTTATATTTTCTGGACAGAGAACTCAGACTCATCTTTTTCTGCGGGGAAATTAAGTATGACAGTATAAACCAACATAAGTGAATATGAAGCTCGCTGGCCTTACGGAAATGTAACGAACGTTACAAAACAGTCGTATATACTATATTATACAATATCAGTGACATGATCAGATTATGATTGGGACTATAAACATGTATTAGAGTCGGAGCTTATCATTCTGTGGATAATCCCCGGCATTAGGAATACCGGATAAGAGATATTGAAAAAAAAAACACAACGAAACGTGCGCTGTTGCTCTGGCTTGCGGCCATGAATGACACCCATACGAAATTGTAATGGCCAGCACTAATCTTGCCACGAATCAGGGGCGCAGCCACGGCGGGAATGGGGGGGGGGGGGCTACGGACTCCCTCCCCCACTTTTCTTCAGGACCAATTTTGTAATTATTTCAAAATTGAGGAGAAATTGGGGGGGGAGGGGGCGTAACCTCTTAAAGATGATGTCCACTCCGTTCTGCGCACCAGTTCTGCTCATAACAAAGGGGGACCCCCAGATATAAACATTGCCCAAATTTTGCATTTTTCAAACTTTTTTGAATTGAAACGTATAGTTTATATTCATTTACAAGTATAGCGAACCAGAAAAGTGTTAGATATTCAGTTAGTATATCATATTTTACAAATTTAGCAGTTCAAAACGTAAACAAAGTTCGCGCATGTGCACAGGAGTGGACATCATCTTAAATGTTTTCATCAAATATACCAAATCTATGGCTTTCAGATTATCAGATAAAACGTGTCTAAAATGTATGAAATAGCGTTTTGCAAACAAAAATAGAAAAAAATCTTTCCGGGGGAGTATGCCCCCAGCTGGCCGGACGATTATCCCCCGACCCTCGTTTGGGGCTGACTATGCCCCTGCAACGAATGACAGCAACAACCAAACGCAATGTACGTATTAAGTGGCAGTTTCTTGGAGTTTCAAACGCTGTCTCCGCAGGAACTACCATTAAACTTTTTGAGGCGATACTCTATAGTGGAACAGTCTGAACCACATTTTCCGCAGTGTTAGGAGTATCGGCTCAGAGACGGTGTTGACAAAACTCAACGAATCATATACAATTTCTCTCCCACTCGCAACGAATAGTGGAGTAACTGAACGCAACGGATTATCGGATGTACAGTTGCTTTCATTTCGAGCGATGTTCACATTTGAACGAATGCTACTTCGAAGTGATGTTTATGACATCGAGCTACGACTTGGCTACCTGAATGGATCATTGATAGGTTTACTTCCTTCGTCCTCCACTGATTAAGATGTATCCAAGCGGATGGTACGTAGTTTGTTCTGATGCGCCAAGATACACGCCGCTTCATTTGCTCCACCACAGTAATGAGAGGAAGAAAACACTGTCAGAAGCTTACCATTCTGTTGGACCTGAACGAGAAACCAAGATATTGTTATTTGAGCCATTAGGATGCTGTCTATATCGAGTACCAAAAATCATCACCACTATCATCATTATCACCACCGCCATCATCATGTCACCATCATCAACATCATCACCAGGCGGAAACTTTGCGAAATATTGGGGAGGCGAGTGCCGAAGACACAAAATTTCTGGGGGAGTATGGGGGAATGCTCCCCCTGAAAATTTTAAAGATTTGGATCCCTGAAATGGCATTTGCAGCATTCTGAGAGCACGTTTTGTAAGAAATTTCAGGTTTTCAAAACATTAATTTAATGGTGCATTTTATATCAACTAATTCCTCACAAAGCTAGCCATACCTTTCCCCGAACGTAACTTCAGCCCCTTCGGACGTATCTTCTTTGTAATAGTCTTGTTCGAATCGCTATCAAAAACACTATTTAGAGTGTCATTTTCGATATATATATATATCTTCAAATTTGCATCTTTATCACGGTATTTCCATTTCTGGTCCGAATGTGAGCCAATTTCAAAACGTCAAAACAATACGATGTTTCTATCGTATGACTCTGGAAATGGCAGAGATCGATTCTAAAGGTAAACTGAGTGCACCTATACGCGTGATTTTTGACGTCATCCGGCTACGGGAGCTCCTTATTGGCCAGGTATAGGCGTGGCCCCCATGTTACATTTGTCAAAATGAAAGCTAGCTAAAATTATTGGGGGGGGGGGCGGGCGATCGCCCCCTGCCTCCCCCTAGTTTCCGCCACTGTCATCACCACCATCATCATCACCATCATCACCCATCATGACTCATTATCTACAAAGGACAAACCTGAAATCCTGCTGCTTGCACTTCATGTGCTCGGATTACGTGGGTCAAACTGTTTCTTGCCAAGAATGCGTCGAGAGCTTCAACACTTCAAGAACATAATCGAAATTTTAATACAGGATTCCCTAGACATACGATGTCTCGTAATAAAATTACCTAAATTGGTACGCCGTGCCACGTTTTGTATTCGTTACGAAGCCATTGTTTTTGAGCAGCTCAGCTTTAATTTCATCAGTAAGCTCTTCGCATCTGTATTAATAATGATACTGTACATCATGCAACTGAATCAACTCAGTTACAGAAAACACCTCTATCAGTTCTAAACTGTTCTCTCCGGAGCAACCCTCGAAATTCAACTATTTTTGCCTCGGCAAATAATTGCCTAAGTCTTTCGATAATTTTCGAGTTTGCCTCGGCAATTTTTTTTGCCGAGGCGCGCAATGAAATCACCTTAAATTCCTTCGGCAATTACTTCGGCATTCACCTCGGCAGTTGTAATTAAAGTAACATACATACGGAAATTATTGTAAACAAATATTATATTGTTATTTTACAAATTCCTGATTCAAAATGTTTTTAAAAAGTCAGTGGTAATTAACAACAAATTGTATGAAAGAATAAACTTGACGGTAATCACGCGACAGTCTAAAAGATAAAACAAAGTTTCTCGACGTGCCGTCTTTAAACCATCAAAATTGTTTTTTATTTAAGCCGAAGCCGACGCTGAAAAGCTCAAATTTAAATATTTTGTAAAGTAGCTATGAATGAAATCTTCTGTTGTTCACCCGACTTCGATGACGGCAATTCGAACAAAGAAGTGATACAAAAAACGAACACAGTAGTTTGTATATTTAAGCAAAAAAAAAAAAAAAACACGAACAGACGCTGTAGTTTGTAATTTAAGGTACAACGGGTGGAATTGCCTCGGCATTTTTTTGCCGAGGCAAACTGCGAAAAATCGTAACTTGCCTCGGCATTTGCGTCGGCAATTGCCGAGTGCCAAGACGAATTTCGAGGGTTGCCGGAGGTCCATCTCTTATAATCTCTAGATCTTATTGATCCAGTGTTACTACAGGATGAAACCTAAACCAAAATCAACACTCCTATACAGCTTCAATACAAACCTAAGCGGATCATTCCAGAGTAATTCCCACGCAAGCTCTTCATCCATCGGCTGGCGCAGGCCCACAGGAAGTTGATTGATTTCAGCAATCATGCCTCCACCATGCGTAGGGAGGGGTATACCCCCGTGGACACAGAAGATCTGAAAAGAGTTCAAAAGATAAAAATTCGATAACTTCAAATTGTAAGAATTTGCTCAATTTGTACAGGATCTGATGCCGTGATGCGAACATCCCACAAGGCCTCCTTAAGTGCCAATCGGAAAATGTGTTTCTACTCGTATTTAAAGAGAGGTTCAGATTTGACCGATCAGATGTGTTTGATCTACGCCGTTAACCAATCCGAGACGCGTACTGAGCGAGATAGCGATAGTCAATTCTGAACCTCTCTTATATTACAGTAAAACCCGACGTTACCTTGTCATCTATACAGGCGGCCAAAGGTAATGCGTCAAAAACCAAGTTGATTGCTTCCCATACTTGGACACCAAGCTCTTTACCGAATTTCTTCTTACATTCTCTGAAGGGAAACAATCCTAAACTTAACTCTCTCCTGTCTGATGGCTGTCTCTCTGGACAGTACAATAGTGTTTCACAGGCAAGGGAGAAAATCCATTTGGCTCAGTTTCTTACTTGTAAAACGTAAACAGCTTCTGAGTTTCTCGAATCTCATGGTTGCCACGTATCAGAAAAAATTTGGTAGGAGCCAACAGTTTCTGAGCAAAGAGATAGGCAACAACCTAGACGATAAAACACATACAGTAGCATCGCAATCTTCATCAGTTTGACTAGATACCAAATACCGCAGGTTTTCTTCTGGTATTTAACTTTAAGGAGAACTGTTTAGAACTGATAGAGCTATCCAGTATAAATAAAGTTAGTTTAGTTTAGGTTTCTTCCTGTAGTAACACTGGATCAATAAGAGATGATCCTTATTGGACCTCTAGGGAGAACAGGTTAGAACTGATAAAGCTATCCAGTATAAATAAAGTTAGTTTAGTTTAGGTTTCCTTCTGTAGTAACACTGGATCAATAAGAGATAACCCTTACTGGACCTCTAGGAAGAACAGTTTAGAACTGATAGAACTATCCAGTATAAATAAAGTTAGTTTATAGTTTAGGTTTCCTCATGTAGTAACACTGGATCAATAAGAGATGACCCTTACAGGACCTCTAGGAAGAACAGTTTAGAACTGATAGAACTATCCGGTATAAATAAAGTTAATTTAGTTTAGGTTTCCTCCTGTAGTAACACTGGATCAGTAAGAGATGACCCTCACAACAGGACCTCTAGGGAGAACAATTTAGAACTGACAGTGAGAGCTATAAATAAAGTTAGTTTAGTTTTCAGTCACACCGACCTCGATTCCATGCTCCCCACGGTCAACGTAATCACCAAGGAACAGGAAACTGGATGGTGTTAAAATTGGACCCATTCTCCACAGCACTTTCTCAAAACATACCAAGTCGTGAAAATTGCCGTGAATGTCACCTAGGTAATATACAGTTAGAGTTATTGATGGTGCTGGTGGTACTGATGATGATGGTGTTGATGATGGTGTTGATGGTGGTAGTGATGATGGTAGTGATGATGGTGATGATGTTGGTGATGATGTTGGTGATGATGTTGGTGATGTTGGTGGTGATGATGATAGTGATGGTGATGATGGTGATGATGTTGGTGATGATGTTGGTGATGATGTTGGTGATGATGTTGGTGATGATGTTGGTGATGATGTTGGTGGTGATGATGATGATGGTGATGATGATGTTGGTGATGATGTTGGTGATGATGTTGGTGATGATGTTGGTGATTGTTATGGTGATTACCACGTTGTCCAGAACAGAAATAAAAAAAATACATACTGCTCACCAAGAATATATGTCGGCGAATCGATCTTAAGTAGTCTCGGTTCGTTTGTCAAAATCTCCCGCAAAGAATGACATGTAGAAAGAATACATTTGGCAAAAGAGTTCATATCCACTTCGCCCCAACTGAAAGCTTCTTTGGAGGAATTTCCGCCTGGAGAATTGTTGATAGGACGCTCGAAATAACGTAAACCAAACAGCATCTCGTTTGGGATTGATTTCTGAGAATAATGGAACATGACTGAGTACGCTGGATAGATAAACTAATTTTATTTATATTGCATTACTGCATAGTGTTTTTAAACAGTTAAAACTGTTCTCCCTAGACGTCTAGAAAATGCCATCCCTTATGGGTCTAGTAACAGTTTGGTAACTCTATGGATACAAAGCTAACCACAAAGGTGAAAAATACATAAAGCCCCGTCAAACGAGAACAAGAGTTGCATGAGAGTTGAGAAGCGAGAGTTTGCATGAGAGTTTTCTCAACTCTCATGCCCCGGTCAAACGAAAACAAGAGTTGATGAGAGTTGAGAAGCGAGAGTTTGCATGAGAGTTTGCTCAACTTTGAAGCCCCTCAGCCCCGGTTAAACAAGAATAAGAATTGCACGAAAGTTGATGAGCGTTGACTGGATATTAGCAGTCAAACGAGTAAAAACTCTCATCAACTCTCACCAAAATTTAAAGTTGGAGTCGATGACAGTTGGCTGTGAAACATGAGTGATAGTTGGAACTCTCATCCTTGTTTGACCAGGGCTACCCCATTGTGACCCTTGTTTGACCAGGGCTACCCCACTGTGACACCTCTTATACCTCATTAAAAGAATTCACGGATGACATGCGGGTGAATTTTGATCGATCGTGTACCATCAGATCTTGAACTGACTTTGCCAAGGCGCCCGTACCAGTCATGTCCCAGAGTTGACTGACATTGGTCAGCGCACCACTGCGCCGTACTTTGACAACATGGGTTGCTAGCTCGTATGAAACAGAATTAGGATGGTTGTTCGCCACGTGCGACTCGTCCAGATCCATTGTACCCTCTGAATGCTCGGGCTCGTCCTGCTCGTGGGCTTTTCTTTTTAATAACTTTCTATAGAAAAATAGTAACTGGTTATTCTATATTCATCATTTGCATGAAGATGTAGTTTAATAGTCTTGCTCCTGTGAATATCGAAAGTTCGGAAGTTGATAACTTGATCATCTCAACAACTTCTTCAATACTTCATAATATATTTCAAAAACTCATTAATAATTCATGAGGAAAACACAAACAAAAATCATAAGCGTCTCGTATCTTTATATGTGATAGAGATTTCCCTTGATTTACATAAACTTTAATTTTAATTTCTCGACTTACACAACGTATTTTTTGAAAAATCATTTCGCCAATGAACTTACTACACGGCAAAAAACACCGAGCCCGTTGCTTAACAGGATTGAACAATGTTTTGCTGCCCAACAATATTGAAGAATATTGTTGAGCCTGAATCGGGTGTAACAATATTGTTCAATATTGTTGACAACTGTGCCCAATGGGCAATTGCTAGATAGTATACTTCAAAATAAGGTTTCCGTTTTTATATCAATTTTTAAAATAAGTTAGGATTAGGTTAGGGTTGTGGTTAGGGTTAGTATTTGGGTTTAGTTTTGCGTTAAGGCTGCATTCCGGTTACGCGTTTTTCATACGTGCGTGTACGCACGTATGAAAAACGCGTAACTGGAATGCAGCCTTTAGGATGGTTTTTTCTACGTTATAAAAACGGAAACCTTATTTTGAAGTATACTTTCTAGTAGCAATCACCATGAACAATGTGGACAGCAAAACACTGTTCAATCCTGTTTTCATCAGTGTTGCAACAACCTCAGCGTTTTTACGCGTGTAGATCCATTGTTTTTGAAGCAATTTAAAATATTCGCAGTGCGTGTTTTATCCATTGAACTAAAAATAACTGGAACGCTACGTTCAGTAAACTGCGCATGCAAATTTTGAAGCCAAAATTTGACTCCCATGAAGCCAAATGAAGCCAGTGGTGACCTCGCCTTTACTCTTGCAAATATCTTTCATGATTTCTCTAAATTGAAAAAGTTGAGAAAGTGCTATTGATGTATTTCACTAAGCGTGCAACAGATGTTGGTCAATCTGCAGCTGGCAAAGTAAGAAAATAATGATAATTATTTCCATTATATGCAGTAGTATTGTATTTGAAGGCAAATTCAGAGATGTACAGTACTGTAGTTTAATTGTTTTGCTCCTATAAATGTCAAGGTTTCTGAGGTTGACCAACATCTGCTGTCCAACAACGCTTACTGAAACCATGGATAATAAAATAAATGGATAGGAGTCTCGCTGACGTAAGCAAAAACAACCTAGTTGCAATCTGTGACGTCACGCGTATTGCAAAGTTCTCGGCATTTTTGTTGTTTCGCTATACTTTCCTCTTTAAAAGAGTAATATTGAAGCATATACTGGTCTAATTGTTTAAAAAACATGCCTAAGCCATGACAAAGTATTCAAGGTAAATGTTTTTCGTCTTTGTTTTGTATTTTTTTACATTTGTAGCTATGAAATTGGCGTCCCCAATTTTAACGAAATTTGGGATGCCTTTTTCACTGTTTAGTGCTTGAAATATTTGCTAAAATTGACTGGGAATACTTAGAGATTCATCGTAGAATGGCGTGCCAATCGGCTTATTTTTTCATGCTCCTTCAGATGAAGCAATAAAATCAATAAAAATTTTTGTTGCCAATACCCTTTAACGTTTCTATTGAAAAATATTTCGGCAAAAAATCACGAGCAACGCAAATACACACATGCGTGTAATAAAGGTGTATACAGTGTGATCCACTAGTTGCATTGCTGGACTCAGACGGCAGTGTTATTATGTTGTTTTTTAACCACCTTCCCTTATTAGTTTCCACTAATTTCCAATGTTCTATGAGTAAAATCTTCTAGCATTAGAATGGTGCATAAAGGTATTTTGTGCTCTAGTGGGTAAACTTATTTATGTACAACTCTGTCTTATGCTGCTAATCTTACTCTGTATGGACAGTGTGGTTGACATCAGTTTGTCAATTTCATTAAATTCATTCACCCCTAGCTGCCTTTGACATGAACTGCATGGTGAATAGCCCACACTCTGAATACTGAGAATATTGCCGTGTGACCAGGAAACAAGTAAACTAACACACAACAAGCACTGGGTTAAAAATTCTATTAGAATAACTAGGTACACATGACCACAAATTTTAAATCAATAGAGACTGTGTGTAAATTGATTTAATGAACTATCTTAGTTGGAAATTGTTTGTCAAATGAACCTACTAAACTGTACAATCATTATGATAAACAATATACCATGACATAATTGAATCATGTATTATGTATTAATCAACTAATATTAATATAGTATTCTTTTAAGATGTTATCAATGTAGAAAGGCTGCACAGTAGTATTGATGAATATTTTCCCTGTGTTATTATATAAATGCACATCTTTGTCAAATATATCCATACACTTATCAATGGTAATCCTCGGGGTATATAGTATTGGGACAATTAGCACTAGAAATATATAATTTAATTAAATATATTTTCCAAACTATCTCACTTTTGTGAGCAAATTTCATAATTATATCCTATATACACCAGTTACAGTTACATACAGTATTTATACCGTCCATCATTTTATCATTCTAAGATTAAAATCTGTCAGGAGAATGACATATACAGCTTATATCAAATTATATTTGCACAGACAAAGCATGTATACTCAACTATGGTAGGCGAGCAAGCCCAGGTAATCATCTTTGTTTGCAAAATATCCAGTGTACAGTAATTGCCCAATAACTCAGGCAATGCAAAGCAATTAGACTCTTGTCATGAGGCATGCCAGCTCATTTCCATATAAAATGAAAATTAAATGTAATAGGAGATACCACTGGAACTTGCAACTTGAACCAATTACCTGTCAATGTAAACTCCCCCTTAGTCTTCTAACCAATATTGCATCACTATTAGAAATCTCATTAATATTAACCTGCAATATTATTATACACTGTAATTACATACAGAGCCTGATGCAAGTCTTGACTCACACCATAGTTTTATTTTTAGTACCGGTATCCAATCAAAATGTGCCAGGAGAAATGTCAATGTCACATAATTTAACAACAAGCTAAATATAGTTACAATCACTAAATCTATAATTATTTAATTATATATAGCATTAATTAACCAAAATATAAAAAAAATACATGAACAATGAACTACAATGTAAAATATAGATAAATTTCACTTACTTTAGAGCCCTCAGTTCGAGTTTAATTCACATAGTGGGCATCTCACAGTATAAATATACTTCAATTCTTGTACTCACATCAAAGATTAGATTCATTCCAAGCCTTGGTAATTAATTCGGTAATTTGTTCTCCGTTTTCTCCGTCAATTTCGAGAGATATTTCTCCATTATTTGTCTCATTTGCATATAGTGTTTGCATATCCTTGCCGCCATGACTTGAATAGAATGCCTCGTTACGTCACAGTAGATTTGATTTTGCAATTTGCATCAGTGAACCGATGCGAGCGCCCGCAATCTGCATGCGATGCATCGCTCAGCGGACAAATCTACCGTGACGTAGGGCTCTAAAACAATAGATTTGATGATGTCACAGTAGATTTCACGCGGAAAAGGACTCGGGACCGATGCATTCACTGATGCAAAATGGCTGAAAATCGATGCAAACCAAATCTACCGTGACGTAGGTGATGCATCAGCTTTCTACTGTGACATCAAAGGATGCGGTAAAAAATAACATATTTTGTCGCGAAATTATTGACGCTTAAGTGTCGCAAAATAAAAAGTAAATAACAAAAAGTACACATTTGCGATCGCACGTCGCATATTGGACTTATTTTGACAATTTCGACTGTTATTGAGACTATTTAAATTGGATTTCATCCTAAATTTTGTATTCCTGACATGGAGTCAAGTTTAAGCAAAGATTTGCGGTTTGATAGCTGGAGAGTTTCAAAGATATTCTATTACTGAGTGCTTGATCAAGTATTGACGACAGCATATTAAATGGCTATATATTATTTCAAACAACATGATTTCTCAATTTTGACCGATGCATTCGCATCGTTGGCATCGGTCTGGATCCGCCCCTGCTAAGTGGCCCCACTTACTGTAGACGCACTGTTCATTATAAATTAATATATGGTATAAATGCACAACTCACAAGGCCAGACAGAGTAAACTGCTAAAGTAAGGTGCACATATTAACCCAATAAACTGCAGAGTTTCCCCATTGACAAGTCAAATCGTCTGGCATTAGACAAAAAATCAGTAGGGCGCACTGGGGCGCATTGCGCCTCCATGGATTAACTATTGACAAGTAAAATCGTCTGGCATAAGACAAGTAAAAAAATATAAGTACTGGGGCGCTTTGCGGCTCAATGGGTTAATTGAAATTCTAAGGGAAGGGAAAATTGTAGAAATGGTCTAGAAACAACACAGGTCAATATAGCAACAGCATGTATTCTATATCCAGGGCAACCTCGCAAGCCAGGGTCTTTTACTTCCGAACGGCGCTGCAGCAAAGACCCTGGTTCCCTCTGGTCACGTGAACCCCAGATTTTAGGGGTAATTCGAATTGCCGCCTCTTTGCCACTTAGGGAGGAGTGGTAGGGGGAATTCAAGAGCGAAAACGAAAACATCTATATTAACTATGCCTATGGAAAATACGTCCATTTACGCTCTGTATTAACCCTTATTTTGGGTTTTGTCGGTTTTTGTGTTATCTTTTATGAAACATGTCACCGCTTGAAAGCTTTTTACACCTACTTGATATAATTTGCATGACTGGATGTCTGTTTTACACCTTGAAGTGGAGCCATTATTAATCATCGCAAAGAAAATAAAGGTCGAATGCACATGCAAAGTCAAAGTACAGTATTCAGTAGCTCTCAAGCTATGGCACAACGAAAGGAAACTCCAAACATGATTTATCCGAAATCCGCTTTGTTTTCGGAATGCAAGTGTCGCCTTTGTGGTAGTATTATCGACAAGAAGTATTGCAACAACCTAGCTATTC